CTGCTGGTGAAGCGTGTTATATATTCAAATAAACAGGATACAGCAGCTGTTGTCGGAGGTGGCATATTTTATACATATTTATTATACAGGCTATACAGAACATAAAATCAAAATTCACATGTTTTATGTAACTGAAATGTTTAATTATGTGGGCTAGAGAAAATAAGAAAGTTATAGAGTATATTTATATGAAACGTATGTATACTTACTGCACTTGATGTATTAACGATATATGTTGCATATCACAGAATGTAACAAGAAAGAATTGAAAAAATGAATATACAGGATGTTGGAAACATTTTAATAGATTTAAATGTGTGGGTACAATTGTAGAACAAATATGTTATTTATAAGAACAGAAGTTGTTTTATTTTAAAGACTATTAGAAATGACAGCAGCATCATATACATGTCCACATGTGACAGTGTGCAGTCCAGGCCTGGTGAGTCCTACTGCTGAGCGCACTGGTTCTCCATGCTGCTGTTAGAACTGACATGGATCATCTCCACTGCTTTCTGTTTCTTTCTCCTCTCCTCTCGTTTATTCTGCTGCTGGTTCTCCTCCATCACTTTCTCCTTACAGTCAGCTGAAGGAGAGCTGAGAACAACCAAAAAAGATTCAGTTACTGCTCATTCGGCTCCTGATCTTACAGTTTTCATCTGTACTTAGTCAACAACACTATGTGCCAAAACAGGACTAAAGTTGCGCTGAGACTGTTTATTTTTAAACAAGCTTATTAGTGTCATTAGAAGAAAAAGCATTTGACAAAGTAAACAGGACCTTTCTCTTCAGCACTCAGCTTCAAATATGGTTTTGGCAAATCATTCATTCTTTCATTGATTCAGAAAAACACTAAACACTTTAAAATATTTGCAATTTTCTTTGAGTAATATGACAAAACCATAAAATTAAAGGAACAACAATTCACAGCAAAAAAAAGGCCTGATGCTTCATTATTAGTTACTAGACCCACTATGTCACAAATTAGAATAAACCAACTTCGCAGTAACTCTAAGGATGCCCGAGCTTCTACAGCTCACAATTCTTCCCTCCCAACATTAAACATTTATTTATATAGCACCAAATCACAACAGTTGCCTCACAATGCTTTAGATTGTAAGGTAGAGACAACAGAGAAAACAGAGGAACCCCAACAATCATATGAACCCCTATGAGCAGCACTTTGGGACAGTGGAAAGGAAAAACTCCCTTTTAACAGGAAGAAACCTCCACCAGAACCAGGCTCCGGAGGGGTGGGTGGCGTCTGCCATGAGCAGTCGGGGGTGAAGAGTGGAAGACAAAAGTCATGCTCTGCTAACGAAGGCCTTTTTTATTGGCCAAATTGCAACAGTGGAGACAAACATTCTCTCCTGTACCAACTATCAGTGTTTCCAGTAACACCTACAAAACAACTGATTTATTCAATGGCTACAAATTCTACTGGAAAAACAAAACAAAACACAACCAAGAAATATTAAATTTTCCACTCAAAGATCACACTGTGGACTAGAATCAAACTGCCTATCACAATCACCCCCATCATCATCATCATCACGAGGAGCATAGATATTACAGAGATCAATGCCTCAACTTTTCAAAACCAAAGATTAAAACTCATGAAATCCTTCCAGTTTAACAAATACAGATAAAATGTTACTAATATTCCCCTAAACAGAAAAATCACCTGTATTTATGCCTTAGCTCCAACGTGTGGACAGAAATTTAACAGTCATGTGAACCAAGTAAGAAGTAAACTACCTTGGCGTCTCTGCAAGGTCAGGGTTAAAGCCAACGCTAAGATCCCAAGAACTTAGTTGGTCGTACAGATCCCTGCTGTTAGTACATACCTGGGGTTGGGAATTACACTAGCTTCATTTTCACTGATCTTCACACACTTCGCAGGCCGTGGCTCTGCCTCTGAAACACCTGCCGAGGAGCTCAGTGGAGGACACATGTCAGCCTCGGGGTCAGCTGTATCTGTCACCACAGCAACGGCCTCCTTGGTCCGGTCCGGCGGTGCCTCCTCCACGGAGGGTGTGATGTCAACAGGAAGTTTCTCTTTCTTTCTCTTCTGGATGAGATTCTTCTTTGCCTCTGCAGGTGGCAGCACAGTTACAGAGCTGCAACAACCCCGGCGCATGTGCACATGTGCATGTGTACAGAGCGGGCGCGCTATGCTACATACCTTTGGGCTCATATTTGTGTTGGAGCTCCTCTACTCGCAACTGTAACTTGATCTTGTCACTCTGAGCCTGCAGCAGGAAATGGAAATATCCAATCAAATAGCCAATATAAGATCACCGCAGATACAATAGTCCACATTCTTCACAAAAATCCCATCATGGGCGCTCAAATTTACAGCTCGGTAGAAGAAACAAACCAAGTACATACACCAACTAGAGCTACACGATTACTGTAAAACCATAAAGTTATTTTAGTATTGTTACTTTTTTAGATGTAATTTTATAATTACTTAAGATTTCCACAGAAAACACTACCCAGAGGTAAAACACTACCTCTTGTGCTTCCATCTGCTTTGTAGCGCAATAGGAGCCACAGAGGTGCCAGCACAACTAGATAAGTGTGGGATGAGGGATTCTGTCATCAGTGACCGTAATGGAACAGAAGACTGCAAACGTTTTAAACGGCACTTGTAAGAGATGCTAACACAGGAAGTGCTGCAGTCAGAGCAGCCTGTTACCTGTTTGAGCAAACGCTCAGACGTGAAGAGTTTCCTCTCCAGCTCCAGAGCTCTCTGACTCTCTGACAAAGACTTCATCCTCTGAAGAGAAAGCTCCTCTCTCAGATGCTCTGCATCCTTACTAAGAAACAAACACACACACACTGAACTTATTTGAAGCCAAAGTTAAATATGTAGATGAAATAACTGAAGTCTAACCTTCTTTGTTACAGTAACAGTTTATTTTTTATCCTGATAATATCAAATCTTCCCAGTGCAGATAAATATGTGTTTTAGAATTACAAACACTGATCCATGAAACCAAGAAAACCGTCACCTGACCCAGACTTCCTGCATGAAGATCGAAAGACAGAGAAATCTGTTATAAATGGATAAAACCTCTTTTGTTCTGCAATGGTTTCTTCAGCCGCACAGTGATTCTACTTCTATTCTAATGTCTGAACCTAATTACTGTGGCCGTTTTTCCACTTTCATCCAAGTCCAACAACACTGTTACATTAAGCACCCCAAGTACCGTCTATAAGGTGGCGGAGCATGACTTCAAGTTGTCTCCAGATGAATGGGGCTCAAAGCACTGGCTTCTTCACATAAATTTACCTGTAATGTATTTTCACCCTTTCTCATTGTGTCAACCTGAACATCTCAAATTAAAGATAAATGGTTTAACATTGTTTCACTGACCTTTCTTTAAAGCACTTTCAGTGTTCAAGTAGAGCAGAATAATCACTGTATGAGAATCAGTCCATTTACCATGAAAGTGAACCAAGATTTTATGCTGTTCTAACGAGTCAATAATCAGACATTTATGGATACATCTGTCCCAAAATATGGATCCAGACTCATTTTGATGGCGAGAAAGGCCAACTGACAATTTCATTCTTTTATTCAGATCATTATATTTCTAGGAAACCTGTAGATGGTCAAGCAAAAGGCCAGAAAACAGCCAAACTCACACAGCGTTGCTGAGCTTCATTTTGAGCAGGTCGGTGTAGTATGTTTCATCCTGGCCATCTCCATCAGCGGCTGGAGCCGGATTAGCCGGCTGAGACTTCAACAACATCTACACACGGAAAAAAC